GGCACTGTGCTGGTGCCAGTCGTGGTCGATAGCCGCCACGCCCCTAGACTTTGACGTCAGCACCCCGACGCCCGCCGAGACCGCCTGGGCCGCCTGCCCCGTGCTGTGGACGCTGCCGAAGGCAGCGCTGAAACAGTTGCGCCTGGCCCAGCTGCAGGCGTCAGTCGCCTTCTGGCTGGAGGTGAAGCGTGTCTCCTGCACCAGCATGACGTCGTCGCCTCCTGCTTCGTCCTGGATCCGCTCCAGCTCCACCTGCGTCTCTGTCCAGGTCGAGCCGTTCAGTGTGACGAAGCTGGCTCGCTTCGCTCCCACTGGCCTGATCAGCTTGGCCAGCTGGAGGGGCTTGACCTGCGGTCGACCAGGTTGAGGCTGCGCCGCAGGCTTCACGACTGCCGCGGCGGCCGAGCGGCCGCCAGGCGGGCGGCTGCTCGCCGCCTTGGGTCTCCGAACCTCGGGGGGTCTCACGCCCTCGCCCGTAGCCTGGTCAACTTGAAATGGGTGCCCACTATTCCTTATGGGCCCCTGGCTGGGCTGAAGACTGCCAGTCCTTCGGTCGGGCCCAGCCAAGTCCGCCGCAGCGCTTGGCTCTGGACTGCTGCTGAGTGCCTCGAACTTGGCGTCGTGGCGCGCGTCATCAAAGCGCCGGTCCTGGCGCAGCAGCGGCACTCTGAAGGGATGCCCTTCCCAGGCGTCGGCCTGCTCATTGGCCGCCAGGTAGGCGTGCAGGCCGCCTCTCGATGGCGCCGCCGCCTCGGGGCGGCTGGGCTCCGCCGCCTCTGCCTCCTCAGCCCCGACTGGGGCGGGCGGCGCCGCACCGTCGGGGCCGCCTCCTGGCAGCAGGGTGCTACCCGCAGGTCTGGCCACTGCCAGCAGCAGCGCCAGCAGCAGGTGGAGGGGCCGCCGCAGCGGCCTTCTGGTCGGCTGCGCGCTGGCGGGCCGCCTCGTCTGCCGCTCGGCTCTCCACAGCGGCCGCTGGGGGGGGTCCAGCTCCTGGCGCGGCGCCTGCGGCTGGGGCTGGGGCGGCGGCAGCAGGGGCGGCCGCCTGTCCTGAAGGTTGAGGCGGGGCGGCAGCACCCTGCTCGGGGGTGCCAGCGGCCTCGGCTGCTGCAGGCCCCTCCTCGGAGCGCTTGCGCTTCTTGGCCACCTCCTCCTCGATCTGGCGCTTGATGCGCTGCTGGTGCTCCTGGCAGTTGCGCTCGAACGTAGCCTGCGCGCCCTGCATGATCTGGAGCCCTTCCTCGCAGAGGCGCCTGAGGGTGGCCTGCGCCTCCTCCTCCAGCTCCGCGAAGTTGTCGAACGACTCCGCGTCGAAGTTGAAGGTGAGCTGCTTCGCTCCGTCGGGCTGTGCGCCCACAACGCCAGCCGCCTGGGCCCGCTGGCGCAAGAGGGCGTTCTCCTCCTCCTTGGCCTCCGTGAGGTTGAGTGCAGCCTCGTCGCGCCAGCCGCGGCACTGGGCGAGGTGGTCCTCCGCCGCCACGAGCGCATCCGCCGCCTCGTCGAGCTGGCGCTGGAGGTTGATCCGCTTCGCCGTGGCAGACTGCAGCCGCTGCTCGAGAGGCTTTGGCGCTGGGGCGGCCGCGGGCGCGACGAAGCACCGCGCGTCGCGGACCGCTTCCTGCAGCCTGGCCGCGATGGCGGGGTCCCCGCAGGCGAGGAGCGCGTCGAGCTCGCTCTCGGGCAGGGCCGACCAAGGGGCCTTCGGGAAGGCGCCTCCACCACGGCCGCCCGCGCCTCCGACGCCGCCGCCACGGGAGGCTGCACCGCCTCCGCCGCCACGGGAGGCTGCACCTCGGCCTTTGCCGCCCTTGCCGCCCTTGGCGCCATCCCTCGGTGAGCCTCCGCCGCCGCCTCCACGATGCGCGGGCGGGGAGCCGCCGCCGCCGCCATCCGCCCAGACCCCGACGCGGGGCGAAGGCTTCGAGGGCGCCAGCTCCAGCCCAATCCCACACTGCCAGCACTCCGCGTTCTTGCGGAAGTTCCAGCGGTAGCGGCAGCCCGTGCACACGACGAAGCCAGGCTCGGCCTTGGGCCCCATCGCTGGAGCGGGCGGGCGTGCTGCTCAGCCGCGGGCGTGCGGCAGGCAGGAGTCGACGGGGGCGGACCCACCGACTCGGAAGAAGGCGTGACCCGCAGGTCCTGGAGGGTGCTGCGGTGGCAGCACTCGCAAGTTGGAAAGGAAGGTGGCCTCAAAGCGGAACCTCCCTCGCGCTCAGAATTCGCCCCGAAAGACTCGCGGTCGTCGGGACGGTTCATTGCCTTGAGCCAAAATGGCTACGGACTACGGCGGAGGCATTGAATAAGGAAGCCTTGGATAAGGAATCCGGGGTCTGGAAGCCAGGGGAACTCCAAGTGTGTATCGGCCAGGGGTATCGCCACCGCCCTCATCAGCTAAGGAATCCTCCACGGTCTGAAGCCTCCTGGGCACATTCCTTAACCAACGCCCCCACCGTATCTGGGACGTATTCTTGACTTCCGCCAGCAGCCGCTACCGCTTTGCATCCGCGGGTCTTCGCCGAGCCGGGGAAGAGGCTATGATCTTCTCGAGCTCTCGAAGGCGAGGCCCCTCTGGAGCGCCCCAGACAACGAAGATCGCCACATGCTGACGGGAACACAGCAAATTCGTATCGTGACGACCTGGGCGCTGGTTTCTGACAATGCATGAATCGTTCAACCTTGAACGAACGCGGCTTTCTGGTAGCGCAGATCGTCAACCTTGAACGCCCGCGCTGGTATCGCCGCCGCGTCAACGCGGCGCGAACTTACCGTATTCAGGAAGCCGATCCTCGTAGGGCCACTACGGCTTTGAGCATCTCTGAGCCCAGAAACATTTCGCGGCACCAGTCGTCGCAGCGTGGGAACGTCACCCCGGGTTCAGGCTCCCACTCGCCGATTGAAAGCTCCACAGGTGTGTCTTCTTCTTCCTCTTCTTCTCCTCCTCCTCCATCTCCCTCCTCTTCCTTATTCCTACCTCTTCCCTCCTCCTCCCTCCCTCCCTCTTCTTCCTCCTCCTCCTCCTCCTCCTCCTCCTCCCCTCTTCTATCTCCTCCTCCTCCTCCTTGGCCTCCTCCTCCTCTCCCTCTCCCTACTCTTCCCTCCTACTATCTCCCTCCTCCCCATCCCTCCCTTCCTCGCCCTTCCTCCTTCCTCCCCCTCCTCTTCCTCCTCCTCCTCCTCCATTCCTTCTCCTTAGAGATGCCTCCTCCCTGTCGCACCCCGAAGACGGTCGAAAAGGCGGGCTGGTTGTTTCGCTTGAGACCTCCTCACCAGTGATGGCCCTCTTGCATAAAAGCTGACAACAGTTTCAAACACTGAGGGCTGGTGATTCTCAAAATGTGGTTCTCGCCTTAGCGCCTCACACATTCGTTTCAAACATTTGCAAGAGTTTCACGGAATTGGGGAGTGCCGTTTTCAACATGTGGCTCTCGCCTGAGCGCCGCGCACATTCGTTTCACCAATTCGCAAGAGCTTCACGGATTGAGGGCGGGTCGTTTTCAAAACCTGACGCTCGCCTCAGCGCCGCGCGCATTCGTCTTCACCATGTGCAAGACTTCCACTGGTTGTCATGGAACGTACTAGACATGGTGCTTCGAACGTTCCAAGATTGCCAGGGCGCAACAGTTACGTTGATTCGCGGCGTTAAAGTATCAGGAATGGTGTTCTGGCACGATGCAGGGCCGCCAAGACGTAGCGGTCAGGTTAACTCGTGGCGTTGAAATCCTGTGAATGGTGTTTTGGTACGCTTCATAATGCTCGCACGGTTGTTCAACAACGGGGCAATTCCCTCAGTGGAACTCACCCCTTGTAGGGGCCTGTGGAGAGGCATCTTGGAGGGAGAGTGTATTTCAACATCGTTCATGGGTCTTGGGTTTTCACTTGTCCTGCTCCTCCTCCTCCTCCCTCCCTCCCTACTCCCTCCCTCCCTCCGTCCCTCTTGTCTCCTAATCCTCGTCGTTGTCGTCTTCGTCCTCTGTCTCTTCTCCTTCTTCTGCTTCGTCTTCTTCTTCCTCCTCCTCCTCCTCCTCCTCCTCCTCCTCCCCCTTCTCCTCCAACGCCTTCTTCTCTTCCTCCTCTTCATCCTGATCCTCCTGATCCTCCGCCTCCCCCTTCTCGACTATCGAAGTCTGGTGCCGTCCTCATCGCTCCCTGCCTCCCGGCATCCTTGCCTTGCTCCCTCCTTCCTCTTCCTCTTTGTCCTCCTCCTCCTCCTCGACTTCGGCTTGTCGGGGGTCGTCGTTGTCACCGCGGCTGGACGCGGCTCCGACGATGGGCCAGGTTGGTGCCGGGGCGTGCTTATCGGCGGTGGACAAACCTCCCTTTAGTAAACCTCCCATTCGTGAAAACGGCCTAGGACCGAAACCGACGGACCTGGACCCGCAAAAACGACGGCGGCGACGCCCTCTCGCGAACCGAAACCGGCCAAGTCCTCAATCGACGTGTCAGGGTAGGAGGTCTACCCACCTCCGAGCATAGCGTCTGACTTGCAACGCGCAGCTTGCCACGAGGAGGGACAGGAACTAAAGCGAGGACCTTCCGCTTAGCGGGGCGGCGGCCCTGCCCTGCGAGCTGATGTGGCCTGCCGCGCCGCTCCGACCGCGGGTGCTCGGACCGTTGATGCTCCGACCCGGGAAGGCAGCCTGAAGTCGGGCCTGTCCCTCTACAGGACGAGTACACAAAAATAATGGAAACACGATTTGGGGACGATCTTTTCTGGACTATTGCTCAACATGTTTGGGTATTTCAAATGTTTCGTCCGAAATCCGCCTGTAGGGGGACATGCCCGACCTATAGAAGCAGCCTCGGACCGTCGATGCTCCGGAGCCAGGAAGCGGTTCGCGTGTCGCGCCGAGGCGTGGTGGGGGCCAGAGCCAGAGGAGAGAGGCGCTCAGCCACAGATCCTGAACGCATCGATGCGAGGCTCGAGCCTACTCCTCTGGTCAGTGCTCAACGACCGCGCGATCGGGACCATCATGATCGCTGTCTTGGAACTCTGCGCCCCGAGCTGAGCTTGGTGTCTTCACGTATAGCAAACTGGCTCTCTTTGATGCTTTCCCGCCAGTTGCTGAACCGCATCAATGTCCTGGCGGTGCAACTCACACTCCCTCTTCCTTCTCCTGCTCTTCCTGCTGTGTGCGCCTACATGTAATTTCTTTTTCAGCTTCACAGTGACCGAATGGCCAGCACGGATACACCGCAAATAACTACAAGACAACGCATGCGGCAAGATTACGGGCACGGGCGAGTTCACAAAAGATAGGTGTCCACCGAACGGTGGGATAATAGAGGGGGAGCGCCTGGGGAGCGAAGGGTACATGGTGACGCTGTGGGTTCTATCTGCGCTGCCGAGATCAGAACATTATCCGTACCATATCCTGTCATCCCTTTAGCATATCCTTCGTGATGCAGGAGGGAGTGATGGACGAAAGGCTGGGGCATGATGGGGTGACTGCATCAAGGAAAAACGGCATACACATAAACCTTAAGAGGTGAGATCTACGCGGATTCCTTGGGTCTGTGCCGGAACCCACTCCATGGCGCGCGGAGCGCGCCATGGGCGGCACCAGACGTCGATTCAAGAACTCCTCGCGGACCTTCGAACATGTGTCTTTATGTTGTTTCAATGGGGTCGAGCCGTCTTCCTTTGTGGTATGCTCTGCTAACGCGAGGAACGAGGGAGTGGTGGATGAGGAATTGGGGCATGGGGGGGCAGTATCAAGCAACATGTAATCGGATAATTGGATCTGGTCGGAACGTACGTCGGATCGGGCTGCATCGACACGGAATCGAAATCGAATGGCATCGGCTGCGCATATCAAGGCCATGTATGCATCGGGCTGCATCAGATCGTCGGAATTCTGGAATCGAATCGGAATGGACTGGCTAAAATCGATATCGAATCGGATCTACCGGATCGAAGTGGACCCTGCCGCCAAGGGTCAGTCGGTTTTCGGGCCATCACTCAAGTCTCCTGCGGCCGTTCGGGACGATCCGGGTATCCCAAGAATGCTCTCGGCGAGGCGCAACTGCTGGCCGGCGAGCCTCCCGAGGCCAGACAAACCTCCCAAACCCGACGACAACTTCCGGCAACCTCAGACAACCCCCGAACACCTCGCATGGGTTTCCAGGCCTAACTCCGGCCGTTCGGAGAATCGCGTCTCCTCTTCAGCGTCGTGCGCCTCGCCGCTGGCCTCAGGCGCTCGGCGGGCACCCCAGTGGCGTGGTGCTTCCGCAACCCGTCCGCCTCCGTCGTGAGGGCGCAACGGTGGGGAAGCGGTAGAGGTGGGGTCAGGTAGGCGGCGCACCCAGGGGGGGGAGGCAGGGGAGGCGGGCATTCCCAGGAGGCTCGGAAGGCCTCTGGCCATACGAGAAGCTTTCCAGGCCTTCTCGGAAGGGAGAGATGGCTTCTCAGAAGGCTGTAGGGCTTCCTCTTCTGAACTTCTGAGAAGCCCGCCGCCCTGTGAGGCTACATGAGAATCGCTCACAACGGCCCTTGGAAGAAGCATGGGGCACACGCTAACATGGATCTGAATCCGTGGGTCTGGCACATTGGCGCCAGCTCCACGGGTCGGGGAAGGTCCCCCCCGCAACACGAGGACCAATACCGCCTGATCTGGCGACGGATCGCGCCGATTCAGTAGGGAAACGGCGCCCGTCGCTAAACCACATGCCTTAACCAATGTCTGCACGTCATCGACGAAACAAAAACGCTTTGAACGGCTCTTGGAAGAAGAAGCGTCAACATACCAATAGTAAGAATAGTACTCTGAAGTGTGAGCCGCCTTGTGAGACCCCCCTGCGAATCCCATCGTGATCATCATCATTATCATCATCATCATCATCATCATCATCATCATCATCATCATCTTCATCATCAAGCTTGGGCTCCTGACCGTCTCAGATGCAGTGGATCCTCGTCATAATCATCATAATCACCATCACCATCCATCATCATCACCATCACCATCCATCATCATCACCATCATCAGCACCACCACCAACATCATCACCATCACCGTCACCATCATAATCGTCATCATCCGCATCAGCATCAAACCCATTCTCGCCATCATCATTATCATCATCGTCATCATTCTTATCATCATGATCATCATCATCAGCATCATCGTCATCATCATCGTCGTCGACATCATCATCATTATCATCAGCGTCATCATCATCATCACCATCATCACCATTATGACCATCAACAACATCATCACCATCATCATCCTCATCACCATCACCATCGCAATATCATCGTCATCGTCATCGTCATCAACATCAACATCACCACCATCACCATTATTATCACCATGAGCATCATCAACACTACCACGGAACCATTTTGCACAGGTGAGGGCGCAGGCCGACTTTTGGGGCTCCCGAGTCCCCCACCGAATGTGGTAGAAAAGGTGTCGTCGAATCATTTTGTGCTTTCACCCTTTGTGTTCCCAGATCTAGAAGAAGTGTAATAAGAAAATAATAATCATAAAAAATATGAAGACGAATAATGACAATGATCCTAATAACACTAGTAATGACAAGACTAACAAAACTAAGAATATCAATAATACTATGAAACATAAGAAACATACAAATTCGAATAAAAATCAATGAGAAGAAACCGAAGACGAATAAGAAGAAGAAGAAGCATGAGCCCCTCTCTGCGGACACCCCAAAGCGTCCGATCATGCGTACGCTCGCGCCGTGCTCACATGCCCTGCGGGCCGCGCCTCCGGCTGGGACGATGGGGCGGCCCCCAGCTTCCCGCCCTTCTCTTAGGTCGGGCATGTCCTACAGGCGGGTTTTGGGCGGGAAAAACAAAACATAATCAAACATAGTCAACAATAGTCCAATCATCGTCCCCAGACTATTTTTCTGCAAATTGTCGAATTTTCCTTCTTTATAGAGACGCGCCCGACTAAACCCTTCTCGCTCGCGGCGGCATCGTCATCGTCGTCCGTTGTCGTCGACGCCGCCGTCGTCACCCTGATCGTTCGTCGTCGTCGTCGTTGTCACCGTCGCAATCGCCGTCGTCCATCTTCCGTCGTCCGTCTTCCGTCGTCCGTCGTCTGTCGTCCGTCGTCCAACATTCTTCGTCCGTCGTCCCTCGTCCGTCGTTCCGTCGTTCCGTCGTCCGTCGTCGTCGTCGTCGTCGCCGCCGTCTGTTCTCTTTTCGTCGTTTTCGTCGTTGGCAAATTACAGCTCTTGCCCAAACGTGCCAAGTTTTTTTTTTCTTATCCGTGTTGCAGCTCTTTCCTAAGCGTGCTAAGTTACCCCACGAATCACGAATGATCAAGCATGTTATTCGCAAGTATGGTCGAATCCGGAGCGGCAAATGGAGCCAACATATACACAAGTATGTTAGTGAACGCTAGGCCAAATAACAATATCAATCCATTCCTTCACCATCCATTAAACGTGACATCCTCCCCTATTGGGTACCCGAATGGTGCCAAGTAGGACTGGTCCGAATAAGGCCTTGTTTGGCGCCCTCCATGTGTGGTCCAGGATCCCCTGTAACCGATGATCTGTGCCAGGACAACGCTGGACAAAGCGTACGTTCGGCGCAGGCTGGTCCATTTCACAAGCGGGAGGCGCGAATCAAGTTTAGAACAGCAAGAAAAACGCCATAATAAGCTTCTGGCGCTCCGTACGGATTTCTTCGATCTGCGCTGGGCCTCACTCCTTGGCGCGCGGAGCGCGCCAAGGGCGGCGCCGGAGGCGCCGCCGGGGGAGGCCCAGCGCGGATCCAAGAAATCCGCGCGGTGTGCCAAAACACAAATGTTTATGCTGATTTTTCTTCTTCGATACTCATCCCACCCACGCGCGCCCCGCCCTGATCACTCGTCGGGGATCTACTGACCCGGGTCAATCCAAACCCGGGCCAGTCAGGGCTTGCAGGATCCTGCAGGCTCCTGCATCCAGAACCGGGTCAATGCAACCGATGCGACCCTGGCTCTGCAGAATCCTGCAAGATCTGGCGCCCTGGCTGACCCCCGTTTGAATTGACCCCCGTCCCCAGACCCCCGACGTCATGAGTTTTTCATGACGCCGACCCCCAGAGGTTTCGACCTGTTCACTGGGACCAGTTTTTCATCCCGAGTCGTTTTCTGACGGCCCCGAGGCCTGGCAAGGGCCCCCAGAGGCCGAAAATGGTAGCAAACCTCCCGTCGTGATTTTTTCATTGCTCGAAGGGGGTCTGGGTCCTGAGGCTCCTGAACTCGGGGCTCTGATGTTTTTCCCAGCCATTCTGTGGTGTTGGGTCCTCGTTTTGAAGAGACGGTACCCCGCGTTCCCGCCTCCTTCCTCCCTCCCTCCTCCCCCCTCCTCCCCCTCCCACACCCATTCTGGCACACCCCTCACACGTTTCGTGGCCCCATAGGGAGCTCCACCGAAGACCCCTGTGGCTGCGTTCGCATGCGCCCACCGCACCCATTTCGGCGCACCCCTCACACGTTTCGTGGCCCCATAGGGAGCTCCACCGAAGGCCCCAGTGGCTGCGTTCACATGCGCCCGCCGCACCGATTTCGGCACACCCCTCACACGTTTCGTGGCCCCATAGGGAGCCTCACCGAAGGCCCCCGTGGCTGCTTTCGCATGCGCCCACCGCACCCAGTTCGGCACACCCCTCACACGTTTCGTGGCCCCACAGGGAGCTCCACCGAAGGCCCCAGTGGCTGCGTTCACATGCGCCCACCGCACCCATTTCGGCACACCCCTCACACGTTTCGTGGCCCCATAGGGAGCTCCACCGAAGGCCCCAGTGGCTGCGTTCGCATGCGCCCACCGCACCCACCCGGCCACACACGTTTCGTGGCTCCACCGAAGGCGTGGCTGCGTTCATTCGGCACACCCCTCACACGTTTCGTGGCCCCATAGGGAGCTCCACCGAAGGCCCCCGTGGCTGCGTTCGCATGCGCCCACCGCACCCAGTTCGGCACACCCCTCACACGTTTCGTGGCCCCAAGGGAGCTCCACCGAAGGCCCCGGTGGCTGCGTTCACATGCGCCCACCGCACCCATTTCGGCACACCCCTCACACGTTTCGTGGCCCCATAAGGAGCCTCACCGAAGGCCCCCGTGGCTGTGTTCGCATGCGCCCACCCAGCGGCACACCCCTCAGTTTCGTGGCGGCACCGAAGGCCCCTGGCATGCGCCCACCGCACCCATTTCGGCACACCCCTCACACGTTTCGTGGCCCCACAGGGAGCTCCACCGAAGGCCCCAGTGGCTGCGTTCCATGCGCCCACCGCACCCAGTTCGGCACACCCCTCACACGTTTCGTGGCCCCATAGGGAGCCTCACCGAAGGCCCCGTGGGTGCGTTCGCATGCGCCCGCACCCAGTTCGGCACACCCCTCACACGTTTCGTGGCCCCACAGGGAGCTCCACCGATGCGCCCACCGCACCCATTTCGGCACACCCCTCACACGTTTCGTGGCCCCATAGGGAGCCTCACCGAAGGCCCCCGTGGCTGCGTTCGCATGCGCCCACCGCACCCAGTTCGGCACACCCCTCACACGTTTCGTGGCCCCACAGGGAGCTCCACCGAACGCTCCAGTGGCTGCGCTCGCATGCGGTTCCACCCTCCATTTCGGCACACCCTCACACGCTTCGTGGCTCCATAGGGAGCTCCACCGAAGGCCCCAGTGGCTGCGCTCGCATGCGGTTCCACCCCCAATTCTGGCACACCCCTCACACGTTTCGTGGCCCCATAGGGAGCTCCACCGAAGGCCCCAGTGGCTGCGCTCGCACGTTTCGTGGCCCTATAGGGAGCTCCACCGAAGGCCCCAGTGGCTGCGCTCGCATGCGGTTCCACCCCCAATTTCGGCACACCCCTCACACGTTTCGTGGCCCCATAGGCGGCGCCGCCCCATTTCGGCACACCCCTCACACGTTCCGTGGCCCCACAGGGAGCTCCACCTCAGGTCCAAGTGGCGCAACTCGCATGGCGCCGCCGCCCCATTTTGGCACACCCCTCACACGTTTCGTGGTCCCATAGGGAGGGAGGAGGAGGTGGAGGAGGAGGAGGAGGAGGAGGAGGAGAAGGAACCCCCACGATATCCACAATTGCGGTATTCACAACTACGTATGGTTGGGTCTTTCGTCAGGCTGATTGAAGGGGCCCTGGGACACACAAAAACATACACACAAATAACAGGATTCTCTATATTTTCCAATCTTTTCTGGGTTTTTGTCTTCCCCCCCACTTCCTATATTTTCCTATATTTGCCTGGGGGTCGACGATTAATTGTGTCTGTGCGTTTTTTCCCTCCTAAGTTTTCCGGGCCCCGCCTCGTCGCCGCTGGGCACGGCCGCGTCACCGTCGAGGCCGGTGCTGTCCATCGGGGTGCCTGTCTGGCTGCCCCCGTCTGGCTGCCCGCGGTGTGCGTCGGAGGCCTCGGCGGGCTCCTCGGGGGGCCCCGGAGGAAAACGCCACCATTGGGTCGTTGTTGTTGTCGATGACGATGGTGATGCTGCTGCTGATGACGACGACGGTGATGATGATGATGATGATGATGATGATGATGATGATGATGATGATGATGATGATGATGATGATGATACTGATGATGATGATGCTGCTGATGATGATGATGGTGATGGTGATGATGGTGGTGATAATGGTGATGATGATGATGATGCTGATGATGCTGATGATGATGATGATGACAATGGTGATGATGCTGCTGATGATGGTGATGCTGATGATGACGACGACGATGATGATGATGGTGAGGATGATGATTCTGATGATGGTGATGGTGATGCTTGTGATGATGATGATGATGATGATGATGATGGTGATGGTGATGCTGATGATGATGGCGATGGCGATGACGATGACGATGATGATGATGCTGCTGCTGCTGCTGATGATGATGATGATGATGATGATGATGATGGTGCTGATGATGTTGCTGCTGATGATGGACCGTGGCAACGCACGATTTGTGTGGTGCACTGGTGACGACTTTGCGACAACGGATGCAAATGGTATGCCACATATGCTGGATGCGAAACACCCGCGTGGGCTTGGGGAAGCCGAGCACCTCAAGCAGGGCAGGAGTTGGTTCGCCACATCATCCAGGCGCATGGCAGCTGTGGGCACCGATGCCTGCGAGCGCGAGGCGGGTCAGCAAGAAGAGAGGTAGAAGCGGACAGGTGCGCACCGAAGGAAAAAACAGCTGTGTGGCACGTCGACATCACCGACTGCTGCTGTCCAGGTTGCCAAGGCTCGCTGCGGCCATGTAGGGCGCTTGACCTGGTCTTCGCGCTGGAGGGCCCGTTCTGTCACGAGACGACCATGTTGCCGATGTGATCGCGGCACTGCAGTCGGTCGGTGCGCTCTCCTCCTCTTCCTGGATCTTCGATCCTCGATGCGTCGCCTGGATCGAAGGAGGAGGATGAGGAGGAGGAGGCGGAGGAGGAGGAGGGTCCTGCCCGGATCGACCCCCAGCTCGGAGGCGGCCATACCGCCGTCGATCCCCCTCCAACTCATGTTCGATCCTCCTCCTCCTGGATCTTGGATCCTCGATCCGTCTCCTCGACCTTCGATGTGTCGCCTGGGTCCCCTGATATCATCCGCGTTTATATTTATAGTTATATTCTCCATACATATATATATATGGATATAAACAAATAAAAGAAACAAGCCCGAGGCCCCAAACCTTCCGACCCTTTACCTGATACCGATCTTCCTTCTGGGTCCATTCTCGGACGCGGAAGCCGCAATCGAGGAAACCCATCGTCGGAGGTCTGGGTCTGGAGGGGAGGAGGAGGGTCCTGCTCGACCTCTGGGTCGATCCCCAACTCGGCCGCGGCCTGTACACTCTCGTCCGTGATCACCGTCCGCGAGTGCGCAAGGGTCCCGCGGGGCCTCCGCTTCCGCGTGGCTCCCGCGCGCTCCTGCGGGCGACGGGGAGGAGGAGGAGGCCCCGCGGACGCACCTGTGAAGCAGGCGCCTGTCGTGTGAACGATTCTCGGTCGTCTCCCTGCCTCCACTTGCGCACGACCTACTATTTGCTTGACTCAGCAAGTGAATGCTTGTTTTGTGCCCTCTGTCGAATCTTCGCTGGCCAAAAAAAGGAGGAGGAGGAGGAGGAGGAGGAGGAGGAGGAGAAGGAGGAGATGGAGGAGGAGAAGGGCGAGGAGGAGTCTCAGAAGGACAAATATAAGGAGGAGGAGAAGGAGGAGGAAGAGGAGGAGGAGGCACAGCGTCGTGCCAAGAGGAGGAGGAGGAGAAGGAGAAGAAGAAACAGGAGGACAGCCGAGTACGCTATAGGTTGTCAGGGTACCTAAGCCCATCTTTAAAGATGTGATGAGGCGACCTTCAGAAGTGCCGTGTTCCGCAACCCACTGCCGAAAGCAGCTTGCCCCTGCAGGAGGGATCTGCTTGCAAGGACTCTTGGGGGTCTCATCCTTGAAGTCGCGAGTATGGCAGAATCCAATGCACCCTGACTTGGTTTCGGCCGTACTTCGAGAAGACAACCAGTTGGGCTGCTCGGGTGCTCCATGGGGGCTCAAAGTTTCCCATGTTGCTCTTTCCTGCTGGCCTTTTTGGATCAAAACATGCCGCGGCATGCTGCGAGGGGGGGTGTCGCAGAATCGGGGGGCACACCCCTAGGCTGAGCAGTATGTGCGCGGTGCGAAAAGTACTCACATGGGAAACGTCCAGGGCCGTGCGTGAACGCATCTCTCGCTTCTCACCCCTCAGGAGGTTAAGGGTGAAGCAGCTTGGACAGCGACGGTTTAGGCTGCCTTGGCCAGAGCCGACCCTGGGGGTGACAAGGGGGACCTGCTCGCATAGATGTGGGCAGTGCCACCAAGCGGGACAGCAGTTGCCGAGGGATGAGTAGGTTAGCTCCTTGCCACAGCTCAATACGAAGGAGCAATCCCGCCCCGTGGGATAGCAGAGGCTTGCGAACGGGATGCGATTTATGTTCCCCGAAGGCCTCCGGAGGCCTCCGGGAAGCGCAGCACTGCCTGGTGCTCGTGGGCCTCCGACCGTTACGCCCAGAAGACGCGCGTGCCTGCCGAGCAACGCAAAAACGCAGTCGTACACAATTCCGACTCCCCGCAGGCTGTGGGAACCCCCATCCGCCCCCCAAGCAATACACGGTTTCGACTCCACGCAAGCTGCGGGAGCCTCCGTCCGCCGCCGGCCGCGCCCATAGCCCCCTCATCCAACGCCCTCTCCTCCCGCTCCTCCAGAGAGAGAGAGAGAGAGAGAAAGGCGCGGTCGCTGGGAGGCTGCAGCGGGCCTCCGGGGAGGGCGGAACTAAAGGATTGAAGGTGTCACGGAATACCCCCAGGGGACTGGGTAGGGGTTTCGCTCACCGCCAGGCCCTCCGTCGATACCAGCGTCGTCGATCAGGGTCGCAATCATGTGACAGTTACAAGGATGTGCTATGCCACAGAGCACTCGCACTTAATGGGATCACGTTGAGCGTGCAATCTACCTGCCGCGCGCCTTGGTTCTAGTTTGTTGCGCCGTGTTGGGGTCGCGGGGAAATCGGCCGCAGTTAGGTGGCCAGAGCACTGGAAGGACAAACCCTGCCCCCCCCCACGCACACACCAAGCACATCAAAATGTCACGGAATGTGTGGCATGTGAAATGCATGTGTACATGTGGGGCGACAGCTGAAGACCCTGCTGTCCTGGCCGTGTGTCCGATACGCGCATCCAGGATGCGCCCCAGTGCCACCCGTGACAGTTTTGCCCGGGAGCCTGGGCGGGGACCACTTTGACTGAATTGTTTTGGGTCCAAGTTGTCCCGGCCGCGTGGCCAATACTCGCTTCCAGGGTGCGCCCCAGGGCCACTCGTGACATTTTTGTCCATGGGCCTGGCGGGGCCATCTTTCAGGCCACTGGAGGAGGAGGGATGTCGCTCAGAGAACGGCGTGGTAGTTAATTACAGCACATATTTAATGACTATGCCAATGGACAATTGCACATGTCATTCTTCGCCGCTGGGTGATGTGGTAGACGTCTCAGGTTCC